GTGCACAAATTGTAGCAGCCGACATTAAAAAGCTCTAATGTGAGCGAATATCAACCAATGTCCAGAACTAACCTTAACGAATATCGCATATATCTTTCAGAGTATATATGGGGGGGGGGGGGGGGGGGGGGGGTGGTTAATACATTCGCCGGCAATTCCCATTTGCTTTAAATGAGCTAAAACTCGCATGAAATGTAGATTATCATATACCTCATCGAATGCGGGGTGCACAAATTGTAGCAGCCGACATTAAAAAGGTCTAATATGAGCGAATATCAACCAATGTCCAGAACAAACCTTTACGAATAGCGCACATGTTTTAGAGTATATAGGGGGTGGTTATACATTCGCCGGCAATTCCCATTTGCTTTAAATGAGCTGAAACTCACATAAATGTAGATTATTATATACTTCATCGAATACGGGGTGCACAAATATAAGCAGCCGACATTAAAAAGGTCTAATTTGAGCAAATATCAACCAATGTCCAGAACAAACCTTAACGAATAGCGCACATATATCTTTAGAGTATATAGGGAGGGGTGGTAATACATTCGCCGACAATTCCTATTTGCTTTAAATGAGCTGAAACTCGCATGAAATGTAGATTATCATATACTTCATCGAATGCGGGGTGCACAAATTGTAGCAGCCGACATTAAAAAGGTCTAATATGAGCGAATATCAACCAATGTCCAGAACAAACCTTTACGAATAGCGCACATGTTTTAGAGTATATAGGGGGTGGTAATACATTCGCCGGCAATTCCCATTTGCTTTAAATGAGCTGAAACTCACATAAATGTAGATTATTATATACCTCATCGAATACGGGGTGCACAAATATTAGCAGCCGACATTAAAAAGGTCTAATTTGAGCGAATATCAACCAATGTCCAGAACAAACCTTAACGAATAGCGCATCTTTTAGAGTATATAGGGGGGGGGGGGGGGATACATTCGCCGGCAATTCCCACTTTTTGCTTCAAATGAGCTAAAACTCACATGAAATGTAGATTATTATATACCTCATCGAATGCGGGGTGCACAAATTGTAGCAGCCGATATTAAAAAGGTCTAATATGAGCAAATATCAACCAATATCCAGAACAAACCTTAACGAAAAGCGCACATATATCTTTCAAAGTATATAAGGGGGGGGGGCGGTAATACATTCGCCGGCAATTCCCATTTGCTTTAAATGAGCTGAAACTCACATAAAATTTAGATAATGATATACCTCATCGAATGCGGGGTGCGCAAATTGTAGCAGCCGACATTAAAAAGGTCTAATTTGAGCAAATATTAACCAATGTCCAGAACAAACCATAACGAAAAGCGCACATATATCTTTCAAAGTATATAAGGGGGGGGGGGGGGGAGGGGGGGGGGGGGGGGGGGGTAATAGATTCGCCGGCAATTCCCATTTGCTTTAAATGAGCTGAAACTCACATGAAATGTAGATTATTATATACCTCATCTAATGCGGGGTGCACAAATTGTAGCAGCCGATATTAAAAAGGTCTAATATGAGCAAATATCAACCAATGTCCAGAACAAGCCTTAACGAATAGCGCACATATATCTTTAGAGTATATAGGGGGGGGGGGGGTAGTAATACGTTCACCGGCAATTCCCATTTGCTTTAAATGAGCTGAAACTCACATAAAATGTAGATTATTATACCTCATCGAATGCGGGGTGCCCAAATTGTAGCAGCCGACATTAAAAAGGTCTTATTTGAGCGAATATTGACCAGTGTCCAGAACAAACCTGAACGAATAGCGCACATATATCTTTCAGAGTATATAGGGGGGGGGGGGGGTTATACATTCGCCGGCAAGTCTATTATTATATACCTCATCGAATGCGGGGTGCACAAATTGTAGCAGCCGATATTAAAAAGCTCTAATGTGAGCGAATATCAACCAATGTCCAGAACTAACCTTAACGAATATCGCATATATCTTTCAGAGTATATATGGGGGGGGGGGGGGGGGGGGGTTGTTAATACATTCGCCGGCAATTCCCATTTGCTTTAAATGAGCTGAAACTCACATGAAATGTAGATTATTATATACCTCATCGAATGCGGGGTGCACAAATTGTAGCAGCCGATATTAAAAAGGTCTAATATGAGCAAATATCAACCAATGTCCAGAACAAACCTTAACGAATAGCGCACATATATCTTTAGAGTATATAGGGGGGGGGGGGGGTGGTGGTAATACATTCGCCGGCAATTCCCATTTGCTTCAAATGAGCTAAAACTCACATGAAATGTAGATTATTATATACCTCATCGAATGCGGGGTGCACAAATTGTAGCAGCCGATATTAAAAAGGTCTAATATGAGCAAATATCAACCAATATCCAGAACAAACCTTAACGAAAAGCGCACATATATCTTTCAAAGTATATAAGGGGGGGGGGGGGCGGTAATACATTCGCCGGCAATTCCCATTTGCTTTAAATGAGCTGAAACTCACATAAAATTTAGATAATGATATACCTCATCGAATGCGGGGTGCGCAAATTGTAGCAGCCGACATTAAAAAGGTCTAATTTGAGCAAATATTAACCAATGTCCAGAACAAACCATAACGAAAAGCGATATCTTTCAAAGTAAATAAGGGGGGGGGGAGGGGGGGGGGGGGGGGTAATAGATTCGCCGGCAATTCCATTTGCTTTAAATGAGCTGAAACTCACATGAAATGTAGATTATTATATACCTCATCTAATGCGGGGTGCACAAATTGTAGCAGCCGATATTAAAAAGGTCTAATATGAGCAAATATCAACCAATGTCCAGAACAAGCCTTAACGAATAGCGCACATATATCTTTAGAGTATATAGGGGGGGGGGGGGGGGGGGGGGTGGTAATACGTTCGCCGGCAATTCCCATTTGCTTTAAATGAGCTGAAACTCACATAAAATGTAGATTATTATACCTCATCGAATGCGGGGTGCCCAAATTGTAGCAGCCGACATTAAAAAGGTCTATTTGAGCGAATATTGACCAGTGTCCAGAACAAACCTGAACGAATAGCGCACATATATCTTTCAGAGTATATAGGGGGGGGGGGGGGTTATACATTCGCCGGCAAGTCTATTATTATATACCTCATCGAATGCGGGGTGCACAAATTGTAGCAGCCGATATTAAAAAGCTCTAATGTGAGCGAATATCAACCAATGTCCAGAACTAACCTTAACGAATATCGCATATATCTTTCAGAGTATATATGGGGGGGGGGGGGGGGGGTTGTTAATACATTCGCCGGCGATCCCATTTGCTTTAAATGAGCTGAAACTCACATGAAATGTAGATTATTATATACCTCATCGAATGCGGGGTGCACAAATTGTAGCAGCCGATATTAAAAAGGTCTAATATGAGCAAATATCAACCAATGTCCAGAACAAACCTTAACGAATAGCGCACATATATCTTTAGAGTATATAGGGGGGGGGGGGGGTGGTAATACATTCGCCGGCAATTCCCATTTTGCTTTAAATGAGCTGAAACTCACATAAAATGTAGATTATTATATACCTCATCGAATGCGGGGTGCCCAAATTGTAGCAGCCGACATTAAAAAGGTCTTATTTGAGCGAATATTGACCAGTGTCCAGAACAAACCTGAACGAATAGCGCACATATATCTTTCAGAGTATATAGGGGGGGGGGGGGGTTATACATTCGCCGGCAATTCTATTATTATATACCTCATCGAATGCGGGGTGCACAAATTGTAGCAGCCGATATTAAAAAGGTCTAATATGAGCAAATATCAACCAATATCCAGAACAAACCTTAACGAATAGCGCACATATATCTTTAGAGTATATAGGGGGGGGGGGGGGGGGGTGGTAATACATTCGCCGGCAATTCCCATTTGCTTTAAATGAGCTGAAACTCACATAAAATGTAGATTATTATATACCTCATCGAATGCGGGGTGCCCAAATTATTGTAGCAGCCGACATTAAAAAGGTCTTATTTGAGCGAATATTGACCAGTGTCCCGAACAAACCTGAACGAATAGCGCACATATATCTTTCAGAGTATATAGGGGGGGGGGGGTTATACATTCGCCGGCAATTCTATTATTATATACCTCATCGAATGCGGGGTGCACAAATTGTAGCAGCCGACATTAAAAAGCTCTAATGTGAGCGAAATCAACCAATGTCCAGAACTAACCTTAACGAATATCGCATATATCTTTCAGAGTATATATATGGGGGGGGGGGGGGGGGGGGGGGGGGTGGTTAATACATTCGCCGGCAATTCCCATTTGCTTTAAATGAGCTGAAACTCACATGAAATGTAGATTATTATATACCTCATCAAATGCGGGGTGCACAAATGGAAGCAGCCGACATTAAAAAGGTCTAATTTGAGCGAATACTGGGGCATTGTCAAGAAGAAAACTGAGCATAACGCATACTTCGTAGGTTAGGCTATTTGGTGTGCATATGTGTGTGTGTATGTGTGTGTCTAGGAGGGGGTTGACCCTCCAATAAAATATAAATTTAAATTCTAACGATAAACATAATTATAATGATAATAATAAGCAGAAGGGTAATATATTTTTAATTTTTGTTAATTTGGACCTTTCTTATGCTTTTTTCTCACTTAAATGTTGTGATAATTTGCATAGTTTTGATTTAATGGTTTAAAATAATCATTTTATCCATCTTAATTCTCAAAATAATAAATTGTTATTACTTAAAATTTAAGGAGAAAAACAATGACTAGACCGAAGACTACTCCTATCCGTGTCTCCTTGCAGAGACTACGGTTAGCAGCCAAACGGAGTGCGTTCATATTGTTGAACACAGCGTCCGTATGCGATATCGATATCACTTTGGCTGCTAAAAAAGGCTGCTAGCTTCTGCTTGGTCCGATGGCCAATGAAAAACCTGCATTTTGGGGGGGATTTCCCAAGCTCTCTGTACGCGGCGGCAAAGGCAAAAGCAAAAGCAAAAGCAAAGCAGCTTGTTGGCACTTCGCATCTGCATCGACACTGCGCGCCGTGTCTGTAACGCACTCTACAATATTGGTAAGTCTTCGATTTACCTAATTTATTTGCAATATGTACGTAGATCGGCGCTTGTTGCCAATAGATTTAGATCTAGTAACTGTTTTTTGTTCTGAACAGTAGAAATGTATGATTGTGAACTAGACTAGATCTTTCTAGATCTAGGCCTAGATCTAGATCTATACGGTATTACATAATACATGTATGATGTACGGTATGCACTAGCTGCCCCAGCTAGAAACCAGCGAGATTTGGGCGACGTTGCTCGGTTTTGTGGGGGACGGTCGCATGTTTTGAGGGGGGAACAAATCCGACCGACCGACGCGACGGCGTACAGTACAGTGGGCCAGGGAGGATCGTGCGCCAAAAGTCATTTTTAAATATTTTTTTTCTTGCCCAGCTGAAAGATAGATGAATACCTCAGTAAAATATTTAATTCCGGTATGCACATTAAGGCCAAGGGTATAAATTTACTCCTTCAATTCCAAACAGCAAAATCCTACATATAGACTAGCAGTAATCACGGAAGAATCCTGGATCGATGAACAGGCTTAGACCTACAACATCGTGTATTAAAGTAAGTAAGTAGACTCTAGGCCTATAGATCTAGTCTATATAAAGGCTATTCACTGTTTTACTTTTTTAGTGCAAAAGCAAAGTGACTATTTTATATTTATTTCAATTGAACATGAAGTTTTTAAGTTATTGATATGAAATTGCTCTCACATATTCCTGAAAGTTCTTTTCACTGCATGAATGGGTTAATGGATAGAAACACAATCTTCATATATCACAAGTGAATTCGGCGCTAGTGTAGTTCCGTATCCATTTTTTAGCAGCTTAATATCCATTCTTAGCAAAGGAGTTTCAGCACAATTTTTTACTCATTTTAATCATAATCATATCGCATTTTCCACCTGAAATTTGATCACATCCAACATCGGGAAGCCTCCGTTTAGGGCTTCGATGTCGACGTCGTCACTCAGTACCGTCACTACGCTATACATGTAGCTCCGCACCTCAAACTGAAGCTATCAGTCCAATATTATGCAAACTTCTCTTATGGTTTATGGTATCGTGCATGCGCGTAATACCATAAACCATACAAGTTACCTGCACGCATGTACGTACGTGCGACCAGGCAAAGCAACCCGATGTACGTGAGGGTATGAGGGTCATGTTGCTCTGGAGAATGTAGGTGAAACCATGTATTTTCGGCTAGAGTATACAAACACTCTTCAATGCAGGAAAGGGGTAGACGTCCTTCTTAGTAACATTGTTTAGTTTACAATAGTCTATACACCATCGGACGCTTCCATCTCGCTTCCTAATTAGTACAGGGGCTGATGCCCATGGTGACATTGAAGGTTGGATGACTTCAGCTTACAGCATTTTATTCAGGCATGCTCGTTCCTCCTTTGCAAAGTTCATGGGGGTGCCCCTCATTCTCTGCTTAATGGGGGCAGCCCCACCTGTATCAATTGAATGGGTAATTATCGTAGAATTACCCAAATCAAATTGGTCTCTGGTGAAGAAACATTCAAATTCTAACAACATGCCCTTCAATATTCTGATAGTATATATATATATATGATAGTTACCTCGGCAGTGTGCCTACTACTGCCCGAATGGGTTTGTCGCCAATACATATGTTTATATTGAAAGTGGATGGTGACTTAATGAGGCATACTATCTGTCCGTGTCCAGTTTTGGGTTGTCAGGATTCTGACCGGTAGGCGGTGGCCAGAGAGGTTCTGTATGTACCCTGGATCTGCCTACTCGCAGCGCCCATAAAGTAAAGCTCTACTCACAGATAGCAGCACTATGTCCAGAGTCCAATGTCCGATGCCTTCGCTGTGATGCTCCTGGTGATGCTCCGATGATGTAGATGTATATTTCTGTTCTGTACTCTGGTTCTGGGTTCTGTGTTCTGACGGGGGCCGGTGGGCTTACATGTAAGCCTCTTTATATACCTGCATGCATGTACGTCAAGCGACCAGGCAAAGCAACCCAACGTTCGCACATGCGTGCAGCCCGTATACGCATAATTTCCCATAGCTCTAACATCTGCTGAAGTCCTGCCGATGAGTTGCTTAGGAGAGCAACATCATCAGCGAATGCAATAATGCCGGAGAAACGGCCACCTTTTGTGCATCCATCCTAGGATACGTGATCCCTGGTACGTGATTTGAAATCATTCAAAGTGGTGAATGCGCGGAAAATATACATAAATTTGCATGACGAATACATCATGTTTAGCGTGGCGAGCTGTCGTTAACTGAAATCGAAACGTTTTTAATGGTCGGGTGAAATCCAAATAAAAGTTGATTCCTGTTGATGTGCCGGGCTGCACACAACTCATATTTCGTTATTCAAACATCAAAATGTATTTCATAGATTTTAAAATATTTTTTGAAATAATTTTCTTAGACCTGCTAAGCTCCACCCTAAAAAAAGGCTCCATATCCCATTCATCTTGTGACATCATCTGTCAATCATTTGTGAGCTAACAAGAGACAGCAGATTCAACCACCTGTTTACAGTAGACAATACCAAAAATATGAGTTGCTATGTCAGACGTGCTGTAGCATCACCAGGAAAAGAAAGGTAATGTGGAGGTGTTGTATGAAAGAATGCAATTCTTTTGTGAGCATGTGCTGAGCTGGGGGGAAGTAACATACCAGTGTCTCTTGTACTTGTAGCACTGAAGCACCATGTATTTAATTATCTTTCAAAGATGAGATATTATGTAATCTAAAATGAATATATTTTCCATACATGGCATATTGCGATAAATTTCGTATACCAGATTTGACATTATTTTCTTATACAAAGTCATGTTACCCGTCTCATTAATTAACTCTGCATTATTTCTGTTCTTCTCTTTAAAGATGAAGTTGAGTTCTGGTCATGTGATTGCATTGTGAAAGAAACTGTGTGGAATCGACCAGAAAAGGTTGATCATCTAGCATATAAGAATTTGTGTGTATTGCAAGGTTCTGGAATCATCAAAATGATAAGAAATTTGGCCAAGTTTTGGTAAAGTTACAAACAATGTACACAGAAAGATGTATATGGGACTACACGAACACGTGGCGTAAAAATCCTACCCCCCCCCCCGAGTTTTACGATATTACATGACATATTTAGAATATGAAGGCATTTGAAGAGTATACTTTCAGGGAACATGTCTTATTTGATGTTCTTCCACACTTTCATAATAAGAATGATAACGCTCACAAATTATTTTTCACCTCTTCCCAGAACTCAGCCTAATTCTCTTCAATAATGCAGTATTCTGATTTCTGATGTCACCATGCCTCTGTCTCTCAGTGAATGGCATGTCATTGGATCTATCACCTAAACCCAGGCAAGATACAACAAGAAACACCGAGCAAACAACATCATCTATCAGGGTATGATTGATATTTATAAGTCTTTCCTAGAACCACTACACTTGCATAAAAAAATATAAAAAATACAGTGAGACAAACAGGCGAACACTAGATCAAAATAACCCACCCCCACAAAAGCTGTGTACAAATTATTTTTGTAAACATATTTTTCAATAAGACATGTAACTATCAAAATAAGAGCTATGTAAGACGTATTTTAGAGGACAGTTTGATTATTCAAATTTGCTGTAAATTGTAGATGTAATGTTTATTACACTGTTGTCAATGGAACCCTTTCACAGAATTCTTGTTCTTCAGTGATTCTACATGTAATTTGGCAAATATTGTCTGATTATTCTTTTGAAAATTGTCTTCTGTCCATAAGTTTTGTTAAGAAAGTACCAGAAAATCGTGAGTCATCTTGTCCAATGGCTACATGAGCATCCTTCTAATATCACCTGTCTATACTTTTTGTTGTATTAGAAATGTTAAAATAAACCAGAAAACTATTGAAAAAATTCCCTGCCAGGAATAAAATGTGGCACAAGGATAGTATCACAGTATGGCTTGTACATAATTGACAGAGATAAAAGTGTGTCCTCTATTCTTAATTTTCTCTTCATTCTTAGGAAGTAAAGGAGAATCATGGATCACCGACCTATCAGGTCCTTCAATCAGGGACAAGCAGTGGTAAAGCAGATGCAATCAAAGGGAATGACTTTCCAAACATGACTTACATACTCCTATTGAGATGTGGTGACGTAGAACTGAATCCTGGTCCAAATGATAAGTAAGCAGCATGAAAAGAGCAACTTATGAAAATTGAAATCCAAAAGTCCGAATTCTACTAAATCTCATTTGCCGAACGATAATTCAATTAGACCCCGGACTAATTTCCTTTGTTAAACTAGATTCTGAACAAAGCAACTAGCGTCGGATTTGAATTTACGTAAAATAACAGCCTTTGACTTTGCCGGCCAATATTAATCGTTTGAACTGATGAATGAAATCTAAATGTGTAGAAGTTTTGCATATACTCATTATGTTTAACAGCTCCACATACCTTTGCACATTTTGCAGTGTTGGAGTGCTTTCATTATAGACAATGTTGATAAATATCATTAAACAGTAAAACAGTGTATTCGCAAGTCAAAGGGTAATGAAAGGAAAGTTCTTGTGATACAAAATCTTGTAAATATCAATAGACGCGCACATGAAATTAAATAATTAATACTTCTTCTTTTGTCTATTATTTATCCCTGGAAGTCTGACCGAGCTCGAGCTCTATCACCTTGCCGAGGGTATGGATCCCTCAGATTTCAGGAAGGTCGGACTAGCTTTAGGATTTTCTGAGGCTAAACTAAGGTGGTTTGAGAAAGACAAGCTTGCTGGCAAGTCCATGGAAGCTACCTATCAGATGCTTTACGAATGGCAGAAGACAGTGCGTGAAAGCGAGGCGAGGGAGATACTAGTCAAAAAGTTAGGAAGCATTGAGCTGGTTCAACTTGCTGATAGTGTACAGAAAGGTACAGTATTGCACACATACATACACACACATGCATATTCATGACATAGTGTAGAGGTTAGGCCTTAGGGTTAGGGATAGGGTTTAGTTACAGTTTTGGTTTGGGTTAAGGTCAGGATTAGAGTTAGGGTTAGAGTTAGGGTTATAATAATCATGCAAACCTATTTTCCAACAACCTATCGTTTGCTCAGTCGGTAATGGTCAACGTACGATAATCCTAGAGTAGAGGGTTCGAATCTTAATAATTATTCCTTCCTGTTTTTGACATAATAAATAGTGAGGCAAAGTAAAAAATAATCAAGTCCAATTGGTTGTGCACTATTGAGCACTACTTTTTTTTTTGCTCAACTGAGCAAAAATATTAAAATATTGTGGTTAACATCTTTTTTAAAAACTTTTTTTTTTTTTAAAGGTAGAATTGTGGTTACCATCTTTGTTTTTTCCTTTTTTTTATGTCAGGGGGGACCACCCTAGATCCACAACTTGAAGAAAACATGCCTAAACCTAAAAAAGAAGTGCAGGACCGGCAGGTGATTCAAGTTCAGGCATATTTCCCTAAGTATTACGTTACAGAGAAAAGAGACCGGGAGCACCAAGCAGGTGATTGCAATGACAAAGAGGGGGTCCAGAATTCAGTTGCAGAGGAGGACGCTCTCGAGGATTTGCTGGAGCTAGAAGGAGAGATAGCAGTTGAAAGCGGAGCCATCTCTGTCCCTTCAAGGGAGCGTAAGTAAGCCCATCTTGTTCTACAAATATTGAAGTATTGAGCTGAGTGGGTTGTTGAAAACAACAATGAAAGGAAAGTATATAAAAGCCCCTTGAAAGTTTGCCTACTATTACTGTAATTTGTTGGTTACTATTATTATTCCTAATTAATCATTGCAGCAAAACATGTTAACCATTGATTTTATTCTGGTCAATCCCACCATTGTAACCAGTGGAATTGTATCGGTATGGTCTGTTACAACCTAGAGGTAAAAACATCTTAATGCAAAAAAAAAGAAACTAAATAATAACAAAAATGAAAACCTTATTAAAACAGATTAATCAGAAGAGTGAAATATCACATTTGAAGCAGGACAATATGATAATGTTATATGTATACTAAAAGATAACATTCGATGCATGACTTTTTCCCAGGAATCATGATGGTGAAAAAAAAAAGGGGTAAAGAGAAAGAGATCAAAGTTAAGGGTAAGTTCCTGATGGATGGACCTTGGTGGAATGCTTCGTTTAAAGCTGTCAAGGAAGGGGACGTCTACATCTGCCAGGGAATCCCAACGTACACACTCCGAAACAAGAAGGGGCAGAAAGGAGAGGATCTCCTCCAGCTGCTCCTTAAGTATGTGTTCAGATTTCCAATACCAGGTAGGGCAGAGGATCAGATGAAGCAAGCCTTCTGGGACTACTTTGAGAAGTGGCGTGGTATCAAGAAGCGGAAGGACTACACCTTTTGTCAGTTCTTCAAGGCGCTGGAGGATGCTCTCAAAAAGGAGCCAACACCCAACGACACAACGGCGATACCGATGATGCAGGTTGCTGAGGTAATCTTGCAGCGGTTTGATCCATCTAACGAATGCTTCAGTCACGCATCCAGCAACACAGATGAAGAGGAGAAGAAGCCAAAATGTGAGTAACAAGTGCTATGAAAAATGATGCATTTAGTGTATAACATTTGTGTTTAATGTCCGTAAATGTTTGTGTTACATGTGCTGTCCCAACTATTGCCTGATGTTCAATTCCTTACACTAACCAAATTTATAACTTCAACCCTGGACCTAAGAAGGTCATATATATTCAACTCGAAACTAAAATCACAACCCTTACCCTGAATCTGTGATGAATGACAAACAAATGGCAAATATTATATAACACCACACCCCACTCATGGATTCGGAGCACCTCCAAGTCCGCAACCTGAAGACTCAAGCCCAGACGGACAAGCAGCTCACCCAAGTCCACAACCGGTGACTCAAGCCCACACAGTCATGTTATAGTACCCCATGTCCGCCAACTGGTGACTTAAGCTCACGCACGCCAGCTATTCCCCACTCCTGACGACAGATAGTCATCCTGTTCGAAAAATAGAGCCACTCCTACCATCCATCCTCTCAAACAGGCGCTATATAGTTCTCCATCGAACTATATAAATCGTGAAAGATAACCGACAGTCTTTTTGAAGACTACAACAAAAGTCCTTTTTAGGACTACACACACTCACACACTCAAGAAAGAAAGATTTATACAGAGAGTCCTTTTCAAGACTCCCCAATCCTCTCCCTCTCCCACATGATGCAACTGTAAGCCTACTGTATAATAACATTCATCTACATGTAACTTGTGGTATGCTGAGTTTTTAACCAACGTTTGGAGCATTCAGATTGAAAAAAATAAGAAATGCATGGCCGGATGCGAAAGGGTCATGCATGTTATGGTTCAAAAGAAATAAAGAAAGATACAAATCACACATTGCCCAAAAAGGACATGCAACAGATATCAGAAGGGTGGGGAGGCCGGGGTCCATCTTGTTTGTCCTTTTCTAGTATACAGTCAGCAAATCATCTTTGTTCAGATTTATCCTATGAATTAAAACACAGCATTTTTGCTCAGTGCGAAAGTCTCTTCTGGTGATAACGACCAATATTTGTGAAAGTATTCAAGTCAAGAAAGTTCTTGTTTTTCCCTGTATTAGATGCACTAGGGATTGTGAAACGAATTGGAATCATACATTCAGATTGATATGTTCAATTTAAACAATCATTTCATTGAAAAATTAATTTACACAGTTGATCTGAGGTACGTCTACAGATGTTTCAAGTGTCCGCTACTCTTCAAAGGGCTCCCTCTGTTGATGGAGAGAGAAGCATTCTCTATCCTGTCTACAGAGAAATTGAGAGACCTGCAAGGACTGGAGTCTGTGCTGGCTAAATCCCCAGAAGACCTGGAATTTTATATGGTAAGACATTGGCGAGACATTAATCCCTGATTTGCCACTCTCCACCCAGGTGTAAATGGGTATCTGATATGCTAGAGTGCTACATATTTGGCCACTAGGCTATGGCTGGGTAATGATGTTGGATGCCAGGAGTGTCACGGACCTGTGCGCTATATAAGGAGACACCATCATTATAATATTTGTCATAATTAAATTTTTGCTAATGTAGAACAAAGGCAATGTTATTGTTCTGGTAATGAAATTTCACTTCAAAGTATAAAACTGGTTTATCTTGATTCTGAATTGCAGTAAATGAGTTGTCTGAACCCACCCAAAAAAATTATTAAAAAAGTGGCAAAAGTGCTTAAAGATTGCCTTTATTGCAAAACTCAACTGTCATTAGCATCCTAATAAATCCTATGATCTTTCTCTATCCTCAAATAATTGCAGGGTACCAAAGAGGTCTTCCAAGGCTTTGTGAATGCCGGTATGATACCACCCAATCTCTTCAAGTGTACGACCAACCAAGATTCTGCTCCACCTCTGTTGTCCAAGTCCTCCAGCAAGAAGAACTGCACTCTTGACCAACCCTCCACATCCACTGCCAATCAAGACACCGACGGACCTTCAACGTCCAAACCAAAAAACAAAACTGTGGCAAGTTACTCTAAAACAGTTCAATTTTGTCTACACAACATGTTTTAGGATGGTTTAGATTCATGAAATGAATTAACAAGTGATTTTGTTTGCGATTCCCGAAATGTTCATAGAATGAAATTAACTCTCCTTTACGAACCACAAAAGCGTCATGTTTCTGTTTTTCATGTTTTCATGTTCACAAGGCCAAGTTTGGCCTAGTGCACTTTTGTAGTCTTTTAGAGGAGAAACATGCTCAAAGCTATAGTTTCTATGTGGATACTTTTGATTTATCCCCCGGCAGTATGCCGGAGAGGTACTTTGGATTCGGCAGCGTAACGTCGCGTCCGCTGCTGTCGCATTCGCCACGTAGTTGTGTGCGCTCTAACTGCCACATTCCTTGACGGATTTCTTTGAAATTTTGTAAGAAGATGTATCTTGGTATAATCTACACACTGGGATGCTGCCCCCACCTCTTCTATAGGGTCAAAGGTCATATTTGGATAAATGTCTTGTGTGCAGTCTAGTGTACGGTCAAACTGCATCATTTCTAGACAGATTTCTTTCAAATTGAGGACAGAAGTGTATGTTGGTAAAATTTATGCACTTATAATTTTTGGTGATGCTGCCACCAGTGTCCCGTGTTTTATAGGTTAAAAAAGTCATATTTGGCACGATGGTGTGAGTGCACTCTGCAGACCCTATTTCTTGATGAATTTCTTTTAAATTTTGTATAGAGATGTATCTTGATCAAATCTACACATCTTGAGTGTTTGGTGATGCTACCACCTTTGTTCGTCTATTATAGAGTCAATGGTCATATTTTGGTTGGTGTTTAGTGTGCGCTCTGTAGGTCATATTTTATGGCGGATTTCTTTCAAATTTCGTATGGAGATTTATCTTGGTACAATCTACACATCTACACTTTTGGGCTATGCTGCCTTCATTTTTTTATATGGTCAAAGGATATATGTCTTTTCAGCGCTCTAACTGCCACATTTCTTGACAGATTTCTTTCAATTTCTTTGCAGAGATGCATTATACATAACACACATATTGTTTTGGTGATGCTGCTCCTAGTCTTGACAATAGTCAGAGCCACTAGTGGCAATCGCTACGTCATCCTTTTGTTTAATAGAGGGGAGAGGGGATCTTTGTACCTCCTTCAAACATAAGGATGACACAAAAATCTCTGCCACTGGCGGGTATACATTTACATTGCGCAGCAATACAAATTGCGATATTTCTAATTTTTATATTGTACTAATTTATACCAATAAATTCTGATTTTTATTCCTCTGATCACTTCATTTCTGCTTTCATCGATTGGTTTATAAGTTCTTTCAATGATTGATTCCTTACTTACAGATCTCAAGACCCATTCTTATAGAGGTTGATCCCAGGACACGAGATAAACCAGCACCAGGAAACTTCTCTAGCTCCAATACAGGTAACTAGCCTCCTTACTTTATGAAATGTAAACTTGACCAAGCCTTTTTACCCAATACTAACAAGTTGTGATTTGTTGTACCTTATAAATAATCTGAAATGGATTTAAGCCAGTGGTATCACTGACATGAAAATTTGAAATATTCCTTGAGAAATACCATGTTAATTAAAGGGGAAGGAAGAATAGTTTTACTGGGATATTTGTCTGGATATACAGCTTGGAATACTGTTCCAATATACTTACATCAAATCTAAGAAATATTTCCCATTAGCATATATAAATAAATACAATTGTTTTGGTATAGTAAGCAATAACTTTTGAAATTAGATGTAAGTCATCAGCAATAGCCTCTCCTGGGTGTACACCATCAGCAGTACCTCTCTAGTTGTATCTTAAGTCATCAGGAGTTGCATCTCAGGCTGGATATTAGTGATAAACAGTTGCCTCTCAGGCTGGATGTTAGTGATAAACAGTTGCCTCTCAGGCTGAATGTTAGTGATAAACAGTTGCCTCTCCTGGATGTAAGTCATCAGCAGTAGCCTCTGCTGGATGTAAGTCATCAGCAGTTGCCTCTCCTGGATGTAAGTCATCAGCAGTTGCCTCTCAGGCTTGATGTAAGTCATCAGCAAGTGCCTCTCAGGCTTGATGTAAGTCATCAGCAAGTGCCTCTCAGGCTTGATGTAAGTCATCAGCAGTTGCCTCTCAGGCTTGATGTAAGTCATCAGCAAGTGCCTCTCCTTGATGTTAGTCATCAGCATGTGACTCTCCTGGATGTAAGTCATCAGCAATAACCTCTCCTGGATTTAAGTCATCAGCAGTAGCCTCTCAGGCTTGATGTAAGTCATCAGCAGTTGCCTCTCAGGCTTGATGTAAGTCATCAGCAAGTGCCTCTCAGGCTTGATGTAAGTCATCAGCAAGTGCCTCTCAGGCTTGATGTAAGTCATCAGCAAGTGCCTCTCCTGGATGTAAGTCATCAGCAAGTGCCTCTCAGGCTTGATGTTAGTCATCAGCAAGTGCCTCTCCTGGATGTAAGTCATCAGCAGTTGCCTCTCAGGCTTGATGTAAGTCATCAGCAAGTGCCTCTCCTTGATGTTAGTCATCAGCATGTGCCTCTCCTTGATGTTAGTCATCAGCATGTGCCTCTCCTGGATGTAAGTCATCAGCAATAGCCTCTCAGGCTGGATGTAAGTCATCAGCAAGTGCCTCTCAGGCTTGATGTAAGTCATCAGCAAGTGCCTCTCAGGCTTGATGTAAGTCATCAGCAAGTGCCTCTCCTTGATGTTAATCATCAGCATGTGCCTCTCCTGGATGTAAGTCATCAGCAATAGCCTCTCCTGGATTTAAGTCATCAGCAGTAGCCTCTCAGGCTTGATGTTAGTCATCAGCAAGTGCCTCTCCTTGATGTTAGTCATCAGCAAGTGCCTCTCCTGGATGTAAGTCATCAGCAAGTGCCTCTACTGGATGTAAGTCATCAGAATATGGGTTCCCATAGAAAACTAGGTGTCCTTTTTGTTGGTTTGATCAGGGTTGGCAACATAACGCCAAGTTGGTACTGTTTAAAAATCACTTTGATGAATTAGACCTCACGTTTGGATGATGGCACCCATTAGGGTATTATTGTTTTATTTTGGGAAAGGAGTGCTTAAAGGTGAAATTCAAAGAAAATCACAAATATGTCAACTAATGTATCACTAGAAACTGGTAACCTAACAAATGGCCATCGTACAAGTTTGAGGTCAGCTATATATCGGGTGATTTATAAAAATAAAAATACAACCACCTCCATAGCAGCTGGGATATACGAGAGATTCGCCAGAAAAATAACGATGTTTTAATGACGTCATAACAGGGACCAATACTGCCCAAGCAGACGACATCCCATAAAGAATGAACATAATTGCAAAGCTATTATTTCTCAAATTATAATGAGTTTAGTGTATATAAATGTAATGGCATGTCAAACCGATCAAAAGGGGACATGACCCGATTCTGATAACTAAAGTCTTTTGCTTGTAAATACTCAGGATAGGGGTTAATTGACAATCAAATAAACCAGACTTTCAAATTGAAAAGCCCCCGGATTGATATTAAGGACGACATGTGTTCCCTCTTGAAACGCCGAACATACCCCGGTGTGTGCAGCTGAATATACAATGGCGTCTTATTTGGTTTAGAAGCGACAGATTCCTTTATTTTTGTATCGCTACATTTGTCATCAAAATAAAACCATGCGCGGGGTTTAGATTGAGGCAATAGATTATACATTTAACCTGACGGTAGTGAAGTAAGAGAAAGAACTCAAGAGAAGATGAAAACACAGGCACTGAAAATGTGTGAGATGCCATGGAACATCATCTGCTTGTGCAAATCATGTCCCTGCTGTGATCTCACACATCTCAGCAGCGTTCGGAGAGCTATTCAGGTGCTATGCCGGGGCTGTATTTAAGCGTTTTGTAATGTATAATAATCATTACTTCGAATGTTTCCAAGCATTGAATTTTGATAACCTTGTCGAATCAAAGTTTCAACTTTGCAATAATGAAAATAAAGCTAGATTTAAAATCAATGAGTATCTACTTTAAAGTTAAACTTGCGTTCTGGTAAAAAAAAGAAAATTTATTCTCACAGAATCAAACAAAACTTACACTGAAAGTTCAAGATTACAAATAAATGTCATTTACCAAACAATTTTGGTATGAAAAGTATACTGGCTGAGTAATGAGCATAGAAAGATAAAGAAATCAAGGTAAGTAGCCTGACACCATAGTCCCATATACATCTTTCAGTGTACAGTGCTTGTTACTTAACAAAGACTGGGCCAAATTTATTGTGATTTTGATGACTCCAGAACCTTGCAGTACACACCAATACTTACATGCTACATGATCAACTTTTGTGGATCCATTCCATACCTTTTCTTTCACAAGGCAGTCACATGACAAGAACTCAACTTTATCTTTAATGAATGAGTCTTACATGAAACTGTCCCATTTGAATTTGTGAAGGTGTATTACATTGGGTAATGGCACTGACTGATAATGATATGTTTGTGGGCTGATCGTACTGAACAGAAGAATAGGATGAATTTTGATGTCAAACCACTGAACAAGATGGTTACCGGTATACGGTTCTTATACTGTTTTTATCAACTAATAGACAGTACTATTCAAGACTTATCTCTCATTTTCTCTTTTGTCTTTTATCCCTTGTGTCATTGAACAGCTAAGCCCAACAGAGAAAAGCTCTCCGAGAAGCGGAAAGTCCAGAGCAACCCTGATCCTGCCAACGAAAATGTGCCATGTCTGTCGGGAGGTGATAGTACAGCTCCAATGGATTCAGAGGTACCCAAGAAAAAAAGGACCTTGTGAATGGACACCATTTCATAATGAGTTCCATGGCTCTTGCAGAACAGGAACTTCAGGATAAGGTTAAAGGATCAAGCATATGTTAGTAATAGAACAGAACAAGGCACAGGGACTTTATCATCACAGCAGCATGAATGAGAATCATCCTTCACCTCTATCCCACCAAAGGAACAAAGTGCAGTCAAACCTGTCTTAGCGAACACCTATCTGTCCATAACGACCACTCATGATTCCTCCGCAGAGAATTCATGTACTAACTAACCCGCCTACTAGTGGTCACTAGCGGATCGCTTCCTGTCACAGCCACAGCGGCAATCTTAGTCCAGATTCTGTCTGATTTTATATATTTTTTATTCTCCAGTCATCTCCTTCCTTACACGTATCCCACACCAGACGCTGTGTCAGTCATCACGCGACCCCCCAAAACAACCGTCGAAAGAATGAGAGGCAGGCACTGTCTCCGGTTAACCATAAGGGTGTTATTTTCTTAGCTGAATTGGGGCGCAACACGGTAACAGTCTGGGCTGTGAACTACGGCTATCATAGCTAAGAAAACGTCTGTTCAATCACATAATGTAACTCGAAAAACTCTAATGATCAATGAAATACTGACATGGGATGTTTTTAGCTCACATTTTGTTCATGGTTATCCACATAGCGTACATACGTAAACAATGATGTTTACGTCATTCATTCATTTGTGGATAAGCGCTTGAGGCAGTGGCGGATCCAGGGGGGGGGGGGGGGGCCCGGGTCCCTCCCCCTGGCCAAAAAAACGTGTAAAAACATGTTAACTTTAACTTTTTTTTGAGATGGGCCCCCTCCCCTTGTGCTCAAGGGGGGGGGGGGGATGCAATTTTTCAAATTTTCGAGGGCTCACTACCCCAAGCCCCCTCCCCACTGAGCGAATTATCGGTCGGCGCGATTTTCAAATTTTCGGAAGCAAAAAAAAATAAAAAATTAGTGCTCCTAACCCCTCCCCCCCCCTCCCACTGAGCAAATAAGTTCTCACGAATTGGGCCCTCCCCTGCCGCCGGCTTAATCCACCCCTGGCTTGAGGATAAGCGTTTGCGATCATTGTCAATGATATTTTCTGTGTTCGATACGTGATGTCAGATTCGTTCACAGTTATTCATAAAACTTGTTGATTATTATTTGTTTCAGAAAATAAAATGGAATGAAGTATTTTTGATTATTATTTTTATTTTAATCCTCCAAATGAAACGGAAATTGAAACCCCAAAAAATCTGTTCAGAGCCACTTTACCCCATCGGGTTTTTTCAGAGCCACCAAGAGCTCTTTTCGCAGCCACTTTTCTCCAATGGCCATTTTCAGAGCCACTTTTCTCCCAACGGCTGTTGTCAAAAGTACTTTACCCAACGGCTCTTTTTAGATGCAGCATGACACTGTGTGAGAAACGTCCCTGTTGTAATGTCGTTAATGCGTAGCTTATTGGTAAGGCATTAATCCTTATTACCAGGTCCCTTTGTGAGGACCTAAAACCACCACCATCAAAAATGAATGAAAGTATTAACACATTTGAAACCATGATTGTTTCAATCTTAAAATACATATTAAAATGATTTTAATTCTCTACTTGAATTGTATGTGGGCTATCATATCAGCTCATTTTAAGTGACGTTGTAGAGAGTAGTTTTTCTACATGTTATTGAGTAACTGTTTTCAAAATGTTATAAATGATAATTTGCATGAAATGAAAGTAATATCAATTATATCCAAGTATGAAGATGTAAGAGTATGTTACAATTTGTCTCACCACCCTTTTCAGATTAAATGTATGAAAAAAGCTTTGTACAAATTGTAATCGTTGCTTGCCACCTTCTACATCTTGTGAAATGGTGTCTGAATGTCAGCAGGGACCGAAATAATGTGTAATCCTGAAGCCTTACTTGTGTATAAGTTGATTCCTGTTGCAGCAATAATTTATCTTGCCATACTTATATCTTATCAACATACCGTTTTTAAATACTTTAAATGATAGTTTCTTTTGAAAATCACTGATAACAAATTCATATATCGTGTATGATATATAGGGTATCTCCGTAACTTCAAATTCACCTTGCACTTATTACTTGTTGCTATAATGGGCAAGCATCAATTTCATGAAGAGCCAATTTGGTTTGAGAAATATGTGTCTCTCTCTTTGCAATAGTTCTTGCAATATTTTTTTTCACATTTCTATTTTCCATTAATGTCAATATAATTTTCTGTAGATTTGAATACGTGTATTTTATTTTGAGATTTGTGTAACCACTGAAATCAATTTAATGTTTCAATCATGCTTAGATTACAATTTAAATTATATTCATGGCTTAATTCGTTTTTCATCTTAATTTCCATTCAAGGAGTATGAAAAAAAAGGTGTTAAACCAATGAATTTCTTTCATTATTTTACCTTGAATATATTTTATGTGCTATTACTTTAGCGGCATCAAAGAAACACAAACATCGTCTTCTGATGACAGGTTGCTTTAACCCTATTTAGCCCGGGCTATTTTGAAACTGCATAGCCCGGGGGGGGGGCTTCTCAGGCCCCCCCCCTATGATCTCGGCCGTGAAACGACCGATCGCCGCGAAAATTTGCATACATGTCAAGTGAAGTGTATAGATTACTATGGTAATTTCAATTTTTTGAAAAATTCACTCATTTGCATATTTATGGTAATTTATGCAAATAAGGTCATCAAATTCACATTTTTGCCCATAAATCAGACATTATTCATATTTAAGCATTCTTTCTCACTACATATATTTGTTAGACCATTTGGAATAATAATACAACACAAAAAATTGAAAAACCAGGGTTATTCTTTATGTTATCTATTGTTTTGATAATTTCTTATGTATTTCTTTGTTTTTTTAACTCATGTATTTTTATTGTTTTTGTTGTTTTATTTCATTTCCAACTATAATTCAACTATTTTGACCCCAAAATAAACACCTCAACTATAAACAAGACCAAATAACCAATGTTTTATCTCTTTATTTGAAAAAAATGAGATTTCCATATGTTTTGTACACAAATCACAAAAATGAGCGATTTTCGGGCTGACATGCAAAGACAAAAGGTCATGTGACTTTGTAATGGTAGGTCCGATTTTCGAAAAATTTCTTTCAAAAGATGCGCAAGACTCGAAAGAAAAAAGTCACAAAATTTCAGTGCAAGATTTTCTTGCGTTAAAAAATTATCGCGAAAAATGTCGAGGGGGGGGGCTTCTCAAGCCCCCCCCGGGCTAAATAGGGTTAAAGGAGGGTAGAAAGATTGAATATCTTGGTGAAACTGATATGCGAACAAAGTCTGAATGGATTTCCCCCCTAAATTTATGAATTATTTGAATCTGAGATCTCTTACATTTTTTGAATATTTCGGAACTTATAATTGCTATTTAGGCCTAAATCTTGTCTTGCTAATTTGAATTGCTAAACAATACATGTATCTTTCATCTTTGTACTTTTTAAATTATTTTTTCTTCTTTTCTTTTGACTAACTGAAGTTAGCAAGGTACCCACATACAAATTATATGTAAATAAATAATTTTGTTGTTGCTAAAGCCAAATTAAGCTTGTTTTATCATGTGCCTCGATTTGAGGGTTCACGTATTGCAGCGAGTTTGTATTCCCTTTTTAGTACAGACATTTACTGCGTATTGACAGTTACACTGCCGCTGCATGTGCGAACAACTGTTAAGGGTACAGATTTCTTTTTTCCCATACCGTGATAGAAATTCCTAATTCTTATTTTCAAATGTTGGCAGGTATGGTCGATGTACATGTATGTATTCAGTGCAGCCTCAAGGAAAATTGCCTTAGACAAGAATTGGAAAATGATCAAGTGATTTCAAATGAAAGATTTGATTATTTGACCCTTTTTGTCACCCACTTGTTTTCAAGCAATCGTATATCTCGTGATTATGTTCTTCTGAAATAAATTAGCTTTATTTTGATTTATTGCCAAATTCACTCGTTTTTTCTGCCTTTTCTTGTTTTGTGACATTTGTCCTCACACATGAAGACTGCAACCGCATAAGGTTTTATGCTGTTGATATGTAAACAATATTAAAATCTACATTCATGTAATTAAAAATGCATGTACACACGAAAATTATGTATTCACGTGAACTTCTTGTTCCTGTTAATATAAAAAAAAAAGAGTTTTTTTAAACCACTCTGATATTTTTACGATTCCTCTCTCAAAGGGCGATCTACAAAATATTGACTGAATCAAGGAGCAGGTATTCATATTCATTGTGGAAATTTCGGAAGGATTACCTTTCTATTACATTTTTTCTCCCAAATTTTAATTTCTTACGATACATTTTCAATATTAACAATTATTTCCTACATTATCACAACCTAAAACGGCTCAGATGATATTGCAATCCAACTGAAAGCTCAATATATACTTTAATGCTTACATTTATTTTGATAGTGTTCGATTACAAATATGTGGTATCGGTGGTTGTTACGATATGCGATTTCCAAATATCCGGTATCCGTCGTAGTTGCATAAATAACATGGCTACCATAACCAAACCAGTCTGCCGACTTTCTTATATTCTGAGTCACGGTTTTCTACTATTACCAAGACCCTCAAACTCATCAGTGATCACATCCACAACCAACTTTATTTCAGAACGAGCAGATTCTGATAGCTGATCGAGGTTACAGTTAAAAGCTCTTCAAGAGATGTGCTAATTTCATATTTTGTATTGATTAGTTAAATTTCATTTTGGGTTCACAGATATCGACTTCTTTAACATTCCGTTTCCATGGCAAGGTCCATTTTTACATAACCGTGACTTCCAATGACTCAATTTTTGATTATAATCAAACGTGTAGCTTAAGTTAATAAATGCTTACCAGTTGTTTCATGTTATTGAAATACAGTTATAGAATTTTACTGAACTTCTAATACTTTTTGATTAGTTATTATTGTCATTTGTTATGATAGCTGAGGGTCCTAGCCCCCCCCCAAAAAAAAAAAAAAAAAAAAAATAGAATCATTTACAATGATGCAAACATTCTTTTAAAAATGTGGATGCGATTCATATTTTATATTTACAAATGTCACTCTATCTTACTGCTCCATTTTAAATCATCATTGACACTTGTAATGACTAGCATGTTGGTGGTAATTAGGTGAAATGCTTTAAATACATATTTTGACTTGCTTGCAATGCGTTTTTAATTTTAAAATTAAAAGTACAAAAATACATGTATAAATATTACATTTTCTAAAATCACAATATTTATTAATCCATTATCATGGTAATATCCCTAGTAGTCTTAATACCCACCACTAACCTTTGGGCAAACAAGCATATTCTGATAGCTAAAGATCCTAACAAACTGAAAACTATCCCTTAAGATTATGTTTAAGAGGGCGGGGGCCTTTTCGGTTTTTGGTGCATTGCATGGATTAATACTGCTAATAATGGTGATAATTGCCATGTACATCTACATGTTCAATGTGTTATCCATTCAAAATGTACACCCTTTAAAAAAAAATCCCTTGGAAAATTACAAAATGACTCGATCATCCATCACATTTTCTGATTATTTCTTTTTCTTGGTGTGCGTTACAAAATAAACTAGACTTTAATTCGTCACTTAGACGAATTAGGTGATACGTATGCTCATGTGACGATATTAGAATGATGACCATGATTGAAAGTGGCACAGCGCCCCCTTCAGGTTTTCAATAGAGGATAAAACTGTTTACCTATACT